TATAATGTTGGGTTGGCACCCACAACGTCGGCTGAGATAGGTAGAGGTCAGTTTGGTGTTCGGATGGGCCGTAGTATTGTTAAGATAGTTGATTTGTATGCAAAAATATTTAGATCTCTAAGTTGTGGTACACTCCAATTGAGAATACGAAGTAGAGGATTTTTTTCTCTAAACATTCCTTTGAAACAAATTTTATTATCACTTTACATAGAATATGAGGCAAAACGAGCAGCTTACGAGACCTATGAGGCATCCTTTTTTTGTCAGGAGAAAATCATCAAATGACTTCTCCCGCCGAGGGTTAGGCGAGAGAGAGTGTCAGACACTTACTGACTAAAAACTCCCCGTTTCTTCTCCTGTTCTGGACCGAGGCCGCGCAGACTCATTGCGCTTAACCCGCAACCCATCCTGCAACACTTAAGGACTTACAAATTGCCGGTGTTAAAAAACTATGACTCATTGACAGTTTTAAATTCCCATTTTTCTCAAACATTGCAAGTCACTTATAATCGAGAAATAAAAAAGGATTGTCTGACTTATAGACTTTCAATTTTCAAGTAATAAAAAGGTTTAATCTCAAGAAAAATCTAATAATGAAGACATCACTCCCCCATATAAGTCCAAATCACTTTGAAAAGTAATAAAGTTAAGGGTTTGCAATCTGAAGATGCCATAAAGCTTCAATAAGAGCCATTCGAATAAGATATGTGTCGACCCTATCAAGGCAATGTGTGGCAATTTATATAGATTCAATGTTAGATATTAAATTCCCAGTCTTTTTTAAAGACATTATAAGACAGATTAAAGTGTCACCTTTTCTCTTTCCGTGGGTGTTGTAGGAGTTAAGACAGATACCAAGGAAGAGAGACTGCTTCTAATGCATGAGAATGCAGTAGAAGCATTTGCTAGCTCCAAGTCATCAACTCGCATTCTGCTGCTAGCTGGATGCCTCGAAAATATCAATGTTACTTTACAGAGTTATAAGTAGGTACTTTCTAAAATTATTTAGACCTAACTAAAGGATAGTAAAGATAAAATTCGTGAATATAATTGACTAGTAATTTCTAATTAAGTCCAAATTTTGTGTTATATTGGTACACTTCTGCGTACCTCTCTAAAGAATATAAAGCGTTATATTATGATGTCATCGAACCTAGAAACGCCTCACTTGCCAAACGTAGTTTGGACGATTTTAACGAGGGGTTATATTTCATATTTATTATATTTTCATTTAATGTATTACTGATTATCAATAAAATTAAATCAATCATTTTAAGTCAAAATATTTTTGTACCCAATTCAGAATTAAAGTGGCTATCGGCTATAGAAGCTGTGGCCATGAATAAGATAACGCCTACATTGTAGCTCTAGCCTTCAAACGATGTAAGACGTTTCCGCGGCTTAAAGGGAAGCGTACACTGAAGGCGTATGTAAAAAGTTGTACGATAAATAGGATTGTTTGAGATAAGCAGGTAAAATATTTAACAGTACAGACACTGCCCCAGTTGTAGACCCATAGGAAAATGTTAATCAGTAATATATTTTGTAGGAGCTCTGAGAACTGATGTCGTTTTTTTGGCCTTGTTGGTCGCCTTTAAGATTTTCTATTAGAGTCCCACGAACACGCGACATTAGTAATATTGCCCATCTTTTTATAATACCTTCTATATCTATACTTATAACTAGCTTCCGCCAGCGGCTTCGCCCCCGTGCTGTGTTGATAGAAAGCAGCCTCTAGTAATAGAACAAAATTGAAGTATACATAAAATTTGTTATTAATCGTCTCATTTTTATGGGTAGATACCCTATTTCTTACTAAGCCTCCGTTATCCATCCGTCCATAGATGGAACGGTACGGTACTAACTAATAGGTACGTATTATTAGAAATATTTCATAAAACCTATTATATTTTATACTGCGGCACGTCGAGCTCAGCAACCGTTACGCAAAAATAATCCTTATAGCATGATTCAGTGTTCACATGCGACGGCGAGATGTAAAGCAGTCAACTTTTTAAACAATAACGTGAGATGGCGGAACAAAAAAGAAATAAGAAAAATGAATGATCGTCTTCAGTACGCGTCCATCTTAACACTAAATCTTATTCGAGTCTGGAGCTCCAGTAAATCGTTCACCAGGGAGGTGTAACTCGCTCGATCCCAACACAACCGTGCTATTGTGTGTTTTCACTTTATGTCCGTATAAACCAGACTGGGTTATGTTGTTAAATATATATTTTTAAGCAGAATACTTTTAACATCACCCGTGAAACAACACTTACGTTGTGTCCTATCTCCCCCCCCCCCGCTCCCATCTTGCACCCCCAAATCCCCTAACCGTAAATCCCTAGTAACCAACACAAAGTAGGCAAGACACTTGTAAAACTCCTATGGAATTACGAATGTCCATAGACAGCGCCGATTGCTTACCATCAGGTAATCCGTCTGCTCGTTTGTCAACATATCCTATAAAAAAACCTTTGAATCGAACTACTTTAGATTTCCACGTTACAAATGGCGTTCCAAAAATATTCATCCATATAGATTTTTCTTAGGCCTTCTGTCTACAGCAGCTTTGTAGAATCTTTGGCTTTAGTATAAAGACCGCTCCTATTTATTCAAATCATATGCTGGACCTTCCAAAGGGTCCACACAATACTTGAATCAAAATAATCCTAAGTCTACCCACTTTCCTTACAATCTGAGCAAAAGATAGGAAAATAAGAATTTAAGGATTTATAGGGTCGTTCCCTCAACGATGTGTTTTATCGATACTCAATCGATATGATGTCGCTATAAACACAGGTTTTATCGACATCGTATCATGCGGCTTTTAAGATTATTTTTGTTTAAGGCTCTTGAGATTTGATTACAATCAGTGGATGAAATGATGATACTTAAAAAATAAAGGATACTTATGGTAGTAACGTATGGCAAATCAATCTTATTTCTTATACTTATAATATTAATACCCTGATTCACAGAGTCTGAATAAACAGCTGTATATCAAACTAGCTACTCTCGCGCGGTTTCACCTGCTGGTCGGCTCCATTTGATCTTAGCGTGATGTTTTATAGCCTATAGCACTCAGGAACATTGCAGCTATCTATCAGTGAAATAATTTTGGCAATCCGACCAGCGGTTCCAAAGTTTACCCCCTACATACAAACTTACAAACATACAACCCTGTAACCTATTATAATTAAGTAAGACTTGTAGAATATAGGTACTTGTGTCGGCTGGGAGCTGTCATGCTCACTCAGAGGTCTCATTGGCGGTGGCACGGGCACTGGATCGCCCAATTCCCTATAATATATTAAGGTTGGGCGCTGCTGGTGTACGTGTCATGTTCGTGAACGGGCGCTGCCTATTGGGACTGGTCAGCTCCAGGCTGTGTAATTATGTTGTCCTTGAGGTTCACTTCTTTTTCGTACTTTTTGCCTGAACATTAGTGTTACATTGTTCTCACATATCAGAACCGACTAAATGATGTAACAAAGAAATGTATAGTAAAATTGATTGAAAAAGAGTAACCATGGAGTTTCTTGCTCGTTCTTCTCCATAGGAATCTACACTTTGGAACGAGCAAATAGCTTCACTAGAGGACAGACGGACAGACTGACACGCTTAATTTTAAAGCTCTTGTTATATACTTTTTTCCTTTTTTGCTTGCTTGACGTTCAAAAGTGCCTACTGTGGTCTAATTGAAATAAATGATTTTTGACTTTTTTTTTTTGACAAACTTACTAATTTTATTATAACTACATATCTACATATCTGCGTCATAACTTTCTTCTTCTTGCTTTAATCTATACTTATACGTACATATTATAAAGAGGTGATTATTTTGGTTTGCTTAGATTGAATAGGCTCCAAACTAGCTCGAAGTTACTTGACCGGTTTGAAAAATTCTTTCACTGTTGTGAAGTTACACTATTAGTCCAGTCAAAATAGACATTCCAGTTTGCATTAATTGCCAACAAGCTGCATTTTTGTGCAGGCCTTGAATACGTCATTACAAATGATATGTCAAAAGTCCCCATCGATCCCGCTTGTGCGTTGTTTTTTATTCGAGGTCAAAGGTCACAAATTTGCATTTTTTGCGTATATCTCTGAAACAACGAAAGCTATCGAAAAATGGTTCAGACAAAGTTTGTAGATCGTAAAATTTTCTACAAAAAATATCTCAACACTTTTCTCCTACAAAGCATCGCTTTCGAGATATCGTGACTTCAGAACGCAGGAAAGTCGTACTTTCGACTATATGCACATATTTCCGCACCACCTCTGAGGTAGTGTACACGGCGCTTTTTTTTAACGTGGTTTCCCCAGTAGGAACTGCACGAACACCTAGTGATAAGATCATTTACTTTTTAAAACCTGGGAGAGCTCAAGTTCAAACAAAAATATATTCTTCACAAAGTTTAACTGCATATTCAAAATGTCAGCCTCATATATTATTCCTTCTTGCGATAACTGGCTGCGATACGACATCAACAATTTTCAAAAGAGGCAAAAATACAGTATTCAAATCGTTTGAAAAACGTGAAGACTTGATTGATAACGCAAAAGTATATACAAATATTAACTCGTCAGCAGATGTTATCCTCACCAATGGAATTCGTGTTCTCCTTGCTATGTATGGAGCTCCAAAAAAAATGGAATCGATAGACAAGTATATTATTTGAGTTTTGTGAAAAATACAAAAAACAATAAGAGAGTGCAGTTATCTTGTCTCCCTCCAACATCTGTTTCTGCTTATCAACACTTATTTCGTGTGCTCTATCAAGTGCAAGTGTGGCTAGGCAATGATCTAAATCCTGAAGATTAGGGCTGGAAATTGATGAATAATAGTTTGGAGCCAATCCAGACTTTACTGCCACCTGCTCCAGAAAAATTCCTCAATACAATTTTTTGTAATTGCAAAAAAGGCTGCACAAACAATTGCGGGTGCAGAAAAGTTGGATTGTATTGTTCATCGGTATGTACCAATTGTCAAGGCCAATCTTGCACCAACATTGAATCAAATACAACAGATGAAGATTGTTTCGAAATTGATGAGGATATAACTGATATATCTCTCTTCTTGGAGCAGTCTACACAAATCGAGCAAGAAGAGGAAGAAGACAGTGATGAAGAAGAAACAAGTGACTATGAAGAATTTGATGTTGAATGATAATGTAATTTTCTTGCTGTTAAAATTTTCATTAAATTTAAATAAAAAAAATTTCATCAATAAAATAGTGTCCCATTACATTCCCTTGATCAAAATATATTGTGGAGTATTCCTACTGGGGAAACCACGTTAAAAAAAGCGCCGTGTACACTACCTCAGAGGTGGTGCGGAAATGTGTGCATATAGTCAAAAGTACGACTTTCCTGCGTTCTAAAGTCACGATATCTCGAAAGCGATGCTTTGTAGGAGAAAAGTGTTGAGATATATTTTGTAGAAAATTTTACGATCTACAAACTTTGTCTGAACCATCTTTCGATAGCTCTCGTTGTTTCAGAGATATACGCAAAAAACGCAAATTTGTGACCTTTGACCTCGAATAAAAAACAACGCACAAGCGGGATCGATGGGGACTTTTGACATATCATTTGTAATGACGTATTCAAGGCCTGCACAAAAATCCAGCTTGTTGGGAATTAATGCAAACTGGAATCATAATTTAGTCTATTTTGACTGGACTATATCTCCGGTGAACATGTGGCTATAAGGCAAGCTGGCAAAACCACGGGACACAACTACCTACTATTTTAAATTAAAGACCCTACACAAAATCCTGCAAACACAAATATTACAATCATTTATGAATGTTTAAATCGCATAAAGATTTCAGTCCCAACTCTCCAGTGAATAATAAAAAAGGGAAAAGCATTTAATCCAACACCCATTCCGTACTGTCCCTTACAATAAATAAAATTATCCCGGAAAACGCGGAAGAAATTAACGCAATCCCGTGCGAACCCGCGCCTTTCGGATTATCGAAGTGATGAACATTTAGTACAACCTAAAGACCCCCAAAACATGGTTTTCTACTTTTCGGATTTGCCAAATTTGTGGAAAAATAGTTTCGATTATAAATTAAACAATGACGATGATGACGTGAAAATTTCGTAATTCCGTCAGTTACAACTGCTAAACAAAGGCTTCTTCCCACACGGTGAAGGTTTGAGCATTCATCACCACGTTTCTTCAAGGCGGATTGGCGACTTCAAATTTGTAAATTATAAGATCAGGTTTCCTCATGATGTTTTACTTCGCCGCAGGTCAGCTGTATCTAAATAAACGTAGAAAGTACTCATAACTCGATAAATACGCTTGCCGCAATATTAGACCCGCGTCATCATATAGGAGTAGCGGGTGCTCAACCTCCTGGCCATCGCGGAATAGACCGCCAGTAAGAAAATGAAAAAATATGAGTAGCGTAATTATACCCACACTTTAAACACTGAATGTTTCACTGGAGTTATTGAACGTTTTATTTGTAAATAATTATGGTATTTAATGCCTTTTTAGTATCGGAATTCATTTTTCATATTTAACATCAAAACATGTCGTGGTGGCCCGGAGGTTAAGGAGCCCACTTCTCATGCATGAGGGTGTGAGTTCGAAACCTGGCAAGTACCAATGTAATTTTTTCTAATTTATATCTACTTTCTATGATTATTTAGATACCACTGACATACGGTGAAGGTAAACATCGTTAGGAAGCCAGGACTTATAATTTCTACTTCACTTATAGGCTAATGATGATGATGATGATGAAAATCAAAACATCGTGCTTCACCAAAAAACCTCCAAAACTCACAATTTAGATCCAATGACGCAATGGCGCATATTTGGCGCAAAAAAAAGAGAAATACCCCGTCGAGTGCAAGGTTCGGTTCACTATCGCGACACATTGCCCGCTACCCAGATTGGTTTTATTGCTCATAAACCCCAAAAGTACCGTGATTGGAGACTTTAATAAAAAGGGTATTTTTCCCAACGCTTTTCGACAAATGAAAGGGCATTTCGAGTGTTTGGGCTTTGTGGCGCTGAGAGAAAATATTTTAAGTAAATATTTTTGCTTTCTATAATGATAATAATTGGTTGATTCGTAGTTCTATTTACACAGATGAATTGAAAATATTATTTCCAAGATCGCCTATTATATTTGATAGCCAATTTTACGACCCAACTTGGTCTATTTCATTAATTTAGATTGATGCCTATCTAGTTTATTTAGATAAATCGATTCGCTTCGAGAGCATCTTACAACTTTCTTCGATTGATTGTCTGAATTTCTCATTCAAGCCGTAATTTGAAGTGTGAACGATTGTCGATAACTGAGTCGCTGCCAGAATGATTAGGTTAGATTAGACTGTGACCCTCTAAGAAACGATTTGCCATTAGAAATAAACTGATACTAGACTCGTTCTGAAATATTATTTATTAAACTAGCTAGGTCGATAATTCATAACACCTCAAGCGGAGGCCTGCAGTTCAGGTGGAAAGTAAGGGTGACTCGTCGCCCGACCAGAACAAGACCCTTAAAGAGCCATCAAACCACCACAGATGCTTTCCACTAGGGGCGGTGTCCAACCAGGAAAGCGAGTACAATCGCAATAGAGATTTTAGAGCCATGCTTCGGCACAAATGGGTCGGCTCAACCGGGGTGATACCAGGGCCTCACAGAAAACCGGCATGAAACAACTACACCGTTGTGTTTCGCCGTGTGAGTGAGGTTACCGGAGCCCCAATCCTTCCCCTCCCCTAATCCCTAAATCTCCAAATCCCTAGTCCCCAAAGGTTTGGCAACACACTCGTCACTCCTCTGTTGCGGGTGTCCATATACGGCGCTGATTGGTTACCATCAAGTAACCCGTTTGCAAACATATTGCATAAAAAAAATGTATCGCGACCTCGCCCGGAACAGCAAAAGAAACCGGATAGTTTTAGTCGATAAGAGCCCGAATTGGTCTCTCGATCCGAACAGGGCTGGAAAAGCTACTCCGTCATTTTCTCCCTTAAAAAATACTGACAATTGTATGGTTGATTAAATTAATTGCTGCAACAGATTTATACGTAAGCAATAACAAACTCTCAGCCCTGTATAACACGATTAAAAATAAAAAACCAACTCGACACCCCAAAACTTTTAATTAAACCGAACGGAATTTATTAATCGGAACGAGTAGACATCAAAAACATCGATCGATATACGCACACGAAATTTTACCGTCATCGCCAAACGGGTGTCATTACGTCTACCTTGTAATTACGAATTAATTGAGTAACCTGCGTGGGTAATATTTTACGGAACCCATCCCCTGTCATACTGTGATGCCGTGCATGATTGTCCACACAATGACTAGCGGTAGATTGAGTGGGTCTGCGTAAAAAATTGAGGATGATTCTTCATTTTTATAGGCCCTGTGCTTTGTTGTTGTTGGTGAATTTTGTCGTTAAACGTGCTGTTTTAAGGGGGAAAAGTCCTCAAATGGGTTTTCTCGCGTAGGGTGACGGTAGACGGAATAACAGACTCTTACTGACTAGAATGACACCGTCCCTGCTCCAGTCCGGAGCCGTGGTACAGTATTGCGCTTGACCGACAACTCTACCATTATACGGAAAGCGAAACGAAAAATTTGATGTAGAGAAGATTGAAGGTAGGTCTACAGGGTGTAATTTAATAAAAAAAAGAGTTTAATCTTAACGATATGTTCATGCTTAGAAAAACATATCACACTGCGATTTTCGGTACTGAGTTTCTAAGATTGAAAACCCTATTATTGCTGCTATCAGTCGGATTGAATGCGAGACTGTACTGCGTAATAAAGATTTAACTTTAAAGTAAGTAGTCGTTATGCGATTTGAATCAAAATCCCAGTTCGTCACTAGAATGGTTTTACGTTTCACGGTACATATAATGGCAAGGTAACTGCAGTTAGCACAAAAAAAAGATAGATTCTACCCTACAACCAATAACTAATAATTTCGGAAAAGTGTTTAAGTTCTCGAAGTGAGAAAATATTTTATAAAAAATATTAATAATAACAGTCAAAAGGAAATAACTACATTTCTAAAAACATAATATTTGAGTACACTAGGACACAAGACAAAATGCATTAACGACCTCTCTAATGCAATTTAGAGAAATCAACTTTTATGTATAAAAAAATATGAGAGGTAAATCTCAAAGTACTGGCTCTAATACGTTTTGCCCTCCGCTCGTTGAGTGAGAGGTCTTAAAATCTTCTTTGAAGGATTAACGGAACGTTTTTCAGTTGATTTGACCTTGAAGTTCAAAGAGCTTCACTTTGATTTTCAGATTGCTCCTAATATTTGGGCTTAAAACGTTATAAGATTAGGAAATGCTTTAGTTTTAATGCGGTAATGGTGCTATTTATATGAAAAAATATAAAAATATTTTAAGTAGTATTTATAAATAAATATTAGTTTTATCAGGTTAGTACAAAATTAAGGAAGTATGTCAACGTATCATTCTAGGAAAATTAAAAAACAAATTACATTGTTTTATGGGATAGGTCGGCAAACGAGCTGACGGATTACCTGATGGTAAGCAATCAAAGAACTTGTGAGTATAAGAAATATCCGAAACATACACATGTTTGGGATTGGGCCTCCGGTAACCTCATTCACACGGCGAAACACAACGCTGTAGTTGTTTCACGCCAGTTTTCTGTGAGGCCGTGGTATCACTCCGATCGAGCCGATCCATTCGTGCCGAAGCTTGGCTCTCCCACACTTAAATCTCCTACAATTTTAGGTGTTGCGTGGCTTCGTTTTCTTTATAAGACACTTTATTAGGGTCTTTTACAGTTTACAATGGATATTCATAATCTAAACACGTACCGCTAAAAGCTAGAGCTAGTATTTAAATTATTGCTTTTAATAATGTGGTCGATAATAGAGTGTATAATTTTAAGTAATAATTAATAAAACTATTATAATATATACAAATTAATATTTATGGACTTCGTGTGGCCTGGAAATATGGGTTTCCAGGAAATTGTTGGGCATACCCGATATAGCATAATTCTTGGAGAGACAAGCTTCGGCACTAGTGGGCCGACACGGCTAGAGTAGTACTACCGCGACCTTATCAGTTTAAAACAACGCTTTCCTTATTAAGTATCCCCCCCCCCCTATTCTTAACTATTTAA